GTTTTGACTATGAACAATTGTCAAAATGTATACTTTTTTTTGGAGCATGTCAAAATGTATACTTAAAATAATCTCTTTGTCTCATTTTACTTATCATTATCATATTAAGTTATTAGTCCAAAAATTCTAGCAAAAATTAGTAAAGACAAACAAGTAAATTAGACTGCGGAAATATTTGATCCAGCAAAATAAACCCATAAAACATTCACCAATTTTTATATGTGGCTTGTCACACCGTGTGCGTAACTATTACGGAGGTTACTATGTTAGTGTTAAAGGGAAATTCAGTTAATGTTACAGGGGTTAATTTATCAGTATTATAGATGTTACTCGGTCAGTTTATAAGGGCTCTTAGATCAATTTATAGAGTTTACTCAGGGCCTGTTCTGATTTACTGAATTGAGCTGAACTGAACTGATTGGAGATGAACTGAACTGAGAGAAGAAAATTAGGAACTGAACTGAACTGATTGGAGATGAACTGAACTGAGAGAAGGAAATTAGGAACTGAACTGAACTAAGCTGAATTGATTAGAGCTGAATTGAACTGAAGCTGAAGAAAATAGACCCTCAATCAGTGTTATGGGGTTATTTTATTCTATTTAAATATAAGCGATTACAAGTATGACCAGTCGTACACAAAACGCATTATATATATATATATTACCAGAATTTGGCTTTTCTTCTGAAATACAAAAATATTCATCATCATTAAAATAAAAAAGAAACTTTGGAGGAGGAGGGGGCAAAGAGCTACAGAAAGGGCCAAGGAAGGTTCTTTTCTGCATCAAATCCATTTCTTTAATAAGTGCATATCTTTGTTCTCTCTCTTCTCCTTCTTCCTCTTCATCTACATTTTCCACTTAATTCAAGGTTATATCTGAATTACTTACTTTATTTTTCTCTGTAATATTTCAAGTGGGGTGTTTAAAACTTTAATGTCTAGGCAATTTAAGCATGACTACATAGGGTTTTCAGAGGTTTCTTCAATGGAAAACTCTGTTCATTCACCCAAATTTTCTCTGAAAACTGAGTTGAGTCTTGGATTACCAGGTTCTGAGTCACCTGAAAGGAAACCTGGAGTTACTATTTTTGGTAAGGATTTTGAAGGAAAAATCCAAAATGGGTCAATTAAATCTTCTTCTTCTGGGGCTAAAAGGGGTTTTTCTGATGCAATTGATGGTTGTGAGAAATGGGTTTTTACTATAAATGGGAATTCTGAGTCTAATTTGAGTAAAGATGGAGGGCAAAATGGTAATAATTTTACTTCTGTGGAGAACAACAATGTCCCTTCTTCTCCTAAACCTGTTCAGGATAAGCAGCCTCAACTTTCTGCTGCTAATGAACATAATTCTGCTCCTGCTTCCAAGTAAGTTTTATTTTATTTTTTTTGGATAAATTTACTGCTATAATTATAATATATGGTTTTATTTGTGTACTTTGTTTAATTAAATACAAGTATAACTTATGTTTGCATGTTTGTCTGGAACTTATAATGCATTGTTTTTTTCTGTTTTGATGAGTTGTTGACAGGAATTTGTTTGATTGCTCTTGTTAAATTAGTTGTTTTTTTCTTTTTTGTTATTTTGATCAATTTGTATACATCTTTTGGCATGCTTGCACAAGTAGAAGGATCTATGCTGCTTTTGAAGCTGTTCTAAATCTGTGTCTTAAAATAAGTCTTTGTTACATTGTCTTTGATATTGGTTTGGATATTTAGAGACTTTGATTTAGGATAAACTCTCATACTCATACACACTCACAACTCGAACTCGAATCTAGATGAAAACCGCTGGTACTTAAGGTAAATGGAATTGTCCTAATAATGAAGGGTAGAAGTGTATATGAGAGGGGTATTAGAATTATCTGAAAGGAATGATGAACTTTTCATTATGTAATTCTGTTTCGAAATTGTGAAATTTGGATGTCTCTTGTATAATTTAGCTATTCTGTTTAATATAGTTCAGTTGTGATCCTCTTACTTTTGTAAGATTCCTTTTGTGTATATGAAGTATTGACTCATTGTTTGCAACAGGACACAGGTTGTGGGATGGCCACCAATCCGATCTTTCCGAAAGAATACCCTGGCATCTACCTCGGCGAAGAACAATGGACAGGCAGAGGAGAAATCAGGAGCTGCATGCCTCTATGTCAAGGTTAGCATGGATGGTGCTCCGTATTTGAGGAAGGTGGACCTCCAAACCTATAGAAACTATATGGATCTCTCTTTTGCTTTAGAGAAGATGTTCAGCTGCTTTATAACTGGTATATTTTATTTCTCTGTCTTGAGTTTGGCTCTTTTGTTGTTTCAGTGGTCTAGATGGTGATATCATTTCATCAGAGTACATTAAACATTGTCACTTTCCACTATAAATTAACAGTCGTGGGTTCGTGATCTTTCTCAGTGGTTATATCTCGTGAGGAAATGAATGAATTTCCTACTGCTCTAAATGCTGATGTAACATCTATGTGCATGCGAGTTTCCTGATTAGGACATCTATAAGTGAAATAAAGTAGGATGTTATTTTCTCAAAAAAAAAAAAAAAGGTAGGATGTTGTGAAACTGAGTAGCCACAGTTATCATTAAAATTTTGATTAAACATAGGATATATGTTGTTTTCCTTGGATGTCGAAGCATTTATGTTATAAAGAGCTAAATCAATCGGTATAATGAGTTTCCAAGGCATGCATGATCTTGACATTGTCTCAAACAGTAGAAATTGACTGATTTAATATTAACGATTATGGTGCAGGTCAGTATGGTTCCAATGGGCATGTAAAGCAGGATGGATTGGCCGAGAGGCAATCCACAGATCTTCAAAATGCCGAATATGTGCTGACATACGAAGACAAGGATGGTGATTGGATGTTAGTTGGTGATGTGCCCTGGAGGTAAGTGCTGTTTGTCCTTCATCTCTTTTTTCATAGTAGACTTTGCACTGAAAGAAATGCCTTTTGGTGAGGCTTGGTGGTCGCTAGATTTCTGATTGTCAAATACATCAACATCATCCTACTGCACAATTTCCTGCTTCGCAATAGGATTAACGCATGATTATTGTGGCAACCTGATCCAAAGTGGTTTGTTACTGTTCTAGTTGTGATTCAAATTTTAAATTTAACTCATGTAACTCTGTGATACCTATTTTATGTTGAATTCCTTAAAAGTGGCTAGGACCTGTCATGTGTAATGGGATCAAATTGCCATTCTGATCTGGTCAATTGGGTTGCATGTTTGGTAATTTGGTATCATCCCCTAGCACCTTCCCTGTCTAGCGGCTTTGGTATCATATACCTTCTAAAGTTAAGGGAATAATTGAAAGATATGGCAAGTATATGGTTTCAAGCTTGTGGTTTCAAACTAACCTTTCTCAATTTATCATCAAAAGAAGTATTGATTATTTGCTTCATTCGAAGGACATTTATGCTGTTATGCTGATAGCTCTGGACCCTTCTGATCAATTGTTCTGTGTAACAGGATGTTCACTGAGAACTGCAGGAAGCTTCGGATCATGAAAGGGTCAGAAGCTATTGGACTAGGTTTGTCGTAATAGAACTTTGATAATTTTATGGCTCATTAATGTCAGCTTAATATTTATGTGGATGCCCAAATGTTGCTCAAAGATATTCATTCATTTCCTTTAACAATCCCTTTCGTTGAATATATCGATGATCAAATCTTCTTGTTGGCAGCTCCAAATGCAGCTGAGAAGTGCAAAACTGAAGCCTGAGAATAGATGCAGGCAGTATCGGAGCAAGTAGGAAGGCATCTAGTGGAACACCAGGAGCCTTCAAGAGGTTTTGAAATTTAGGGAGTGTTTATGAGTTTATTAGATTTAATGGTTGTGAAAAAAAAAAAGTTATTATGTACTAGATAAATATACATTATTGTAGACATTTCAAGCTTTTATATTAACCTCCTGAGTTTGGGTGTGCATAGTTAGATCCCTTTTTTTTATGAAACATTTTGATTCAAGAGGCATGAAATTTGGATTTATAAAGTTCAAAAATTCAATAGATGAAAGGGCAAAATTAAACTAAAATTCTATGAAAAATTTGGACATCCTTCTACAAATTTTCAATATAATATAATCCCAACAAAAAACTTAAGTTCTATGAAAAATTTGGACATCCTTCAACAAATTCAACCTGCATCAAAGTCGTATAGTAAATGATTACTTCCTCTATTTTTTTTTACTTGACCTGTTTCTTTTATCACGCTTGTCAATGCAAAATTTTAACGATCAATAACTTAAATTCTCGATAAGTAAAAATTATAAAAGTTATATATTATGATAGTACTTATTGAGACGAATCCAAATAGATCATACATAAATATATTTTTCCTTACATATTATTCACAAAAGACGGTCAAATGAGGGGTGATGAATAATGTAAAAGTCAAAGCGTGTCAAGTAATAAAGAACGGAGGAAGTATTTTAAAAAAAAATAAATGATTTTTAGCAAAAGAATAGATTCTTTAAAATGTTTTGAATTATATATACGCATTTGTTTTTTCTTGTTTTTTTTGGGCTATGGTCATATTCTAGGTTAGTATATTTGGATTATATTTGCCAAATTTTCATTTCAATTTAATGAGGTGATTAATGTACTATATACTCCAGGGTCCAAATATACACATGTTAATCATGTAATAAATCAAAACTCGACAAGTCATGCAATTGGTGCGACAAAATCTTAGTTCAGGAGATACAATGTGCAAGTACACATTAAGGACTCCAAAACAAGGAGAAGAAATCATACTATGCAAATAGCTTGTAAAAAATACAGTATGAAAACAAGAAAGTGGCTATTTGCAAATGATCTTCATATCCAACTCATCTTCCCAAGTTCAAGTAATTCCAGTTCAAAGAAACACTTGAAAAGGGGGATAGTATCATATAATGACGATACACGAAAGTATGATGCTCTCCATTTGTTATATTGCAAAATACTTATGATATACCCACTAAAATCTTGCAGAATCATCAAAGCTCATAATTGATATAGGAGAAAAATATTACACTCGAAATAAACAAGTTGATATTTAGAGGATACAGTATCTAGCAAATCTTGCCTAACCAAAGAAGTCAAAAGCAAAAGAAAAAAAAAAAAACTTTATATATAACATCATAGCCAAAGAAATCAATTACATACTAACTCAATAATTTTGCTGGTTAGAGGGTGGAAAATTATAAGTTATGATTGCAAAACTTGAACAAGGTAATGGAACAGTGGTAGGTGAAAGAAGAAATATATCATTGCTGTAAAATTACCTAACTGAGCTGAATGTGTGCATATAGAAGCCAAAAATCTGAACAAATATTTTCTCTGCATATATTTCTGACAAACCTAAGATTCAGGCTCGGAAATCTGAACATATACCATTTGAGTGTACCCATTAAATCCAGATCTTTCGAGTCTACCTAGACCTAGCCTTTGGAAGAGGTTATAATGACCATCTTCAACAATAGGCGGAACAGAGCGAGCAGGATCATATCTTGTTTGATGAGTTAGAGATGGACCGGCAACTGGTGGAACCTCCCAATAGATATCTAAGATTGATTCCACAAATCTACTATTCTGGAAGTGCTCAGAGTAGGAGATTAACTTGTTGCTATGGTTAAAGTCATCGCGCATATAGCCTCTTACACCCCACCATGATTCACTAGGCCCACAGAGTTCATCGATATCCAGTGCTTTCTCCCAGAATGGTTTCCTTTTTGCTCTTACTCTAGCTTCATCGCTTTCTTTGAAGCAACTGTGGCCTCCTCCTGGAACAAATTTAAACAAATTTAGCTTGATTATTAGCAACATTAACAACTATTGTTTTTTCATATTATTTTGATCAAGATATTCGAGAAACCACCAACTTTGAAAACAAGAGATAGAAAGTCTATCGACAAAAAAATTATGATGCCAATTTAAAGGTAACATCAGCACTTGAATTGTGTTTAACTTGGTGTTGGAAGAAAAGAGAGCCACCCGGCCGCGCGCGCGCGCCGGGGGGGGGGTCAAGAAAATATTGAAAAAGCCCCTAAATTGTTTCAAAAAACAAGGAGGTACACAGTGCATTGTTCAATGAAAACTTAGAAAACAGAAGCTAAGATGGATGATAACTAGGTTGGAAGCACAAGGAACTGTACCTCTGATATAACTTTGATCACAAATTTGTCTCAAGGAATAATGATCTCCAGTTCCTGTGTCATAGTTATCTTCAAAGACAATATGTCTGAAACCAGCCTTTAGTGCCTGTTTCAATCTATCCAAGCAGAATTTTAAGGAAAGGAGGTAGTCTTAATAAGTGACTTGATCATTAGCATATATAGCAAAGGGAAACAATACTTAGAAACAAACACGGCAAGGTGTTTACAAGGATAAAGCGATCAACAATTTCTGGTCAGGCAATGATACCTTTTTAGTTCACTCTGATGGTCATCGAAGAAGATAAGAACTCGACTGAGATCAGTAACCCCATGTTTCTTCATTACACTTTTCCAGTCAACATTTCCAAAATCTACGAAGTCCTTCCCTGCAAAGTATGTGCAATTTTGATCAACATAAGCAGGACCCTTCTTCAGATACTTCTCAGGATGACGGGGAGTGACTGATATTATCCTAGTGTACGGCATAGCTTGTCGCAGCACCCATGTGGAATGCCCTTTAAAAGCGCCACTCTCTATCATGAGATCTGGCTTCAACCACCTTGCAATAAACCACAGTCCAAAGCTATGGTCAAATCCCATGCCAAACATGTTGTTTTTGATTGGCCGAGTTTCATATATAGGTATAAATTCTTCCAGTCCACTGATGAGATCCTTGGAAGTCCATTCCACTGTTTTTCCATGTTTCGATCTGCCTTTTGCCAACAAGAACAATTAAAATGGTGCAGACAGTAAGAACTAGATCATGTTTGTGTCTGAGTACAGATACTTGAACATGGAAAAAAGGTCAACAAACAATCACTGAAAAACGTGATAAAGGCACATAGCGCAAAGGCAAGATATTAAACAGCCATAATCCCTCATCATAGATGCAAACAATGTGCTCTATGTGACACGCATATAAATTAAACAAGCAGAATAAATAGGCCATTCCATACAAATATGCATTCATGCAGACAAGGCCAGAATTTATAAGCCTAATTTTTTATTGTGCTTCTGGCATACGGAACAAGATGTTAACTAACATAAATCAGGCGGACTGCAGATAATTCATAAATGCCATTTGAATTTCTTGACACTTTAAGAGAGCTCAAGGTGTGAAAATTCATGGCATAGCTTAAGATGGAAGCTGTGCATTTCTCTGTTATAGTCTGCTCACCCCCTAAAAAAAAACTTCATTTTGTTATTATCTCTAGATTGCAGTATTTGTTTGTGATTGTAAAGTTTATCCCTCTAAACTCAATTGACATGTCTCCATTATTTAAGACCTGAGCATGTTAATTCAGATTTTAGATTGGTGATAGTTTTGATTCTTCAATTGTGATTTTTGGGTGATACATTTGCTGGCCAGATTTCCATGGCTTGGTCAGATGCTCGGTGGACTAGGTTGGACAGAGGAGAGGAGAGGTGAGGAGGAGAAGAGAGACAAGGAACTTAAATGAGAGATAGAGAATGCCGAGATGAACATGGAGAAGAAAATGGGGAAAAAAAAATTCTGTAGTTCTAGGATTTGATCTTAGCCAGCAATATAGCTTCGCCATAGCACCCGCTGGACTGTCAAACTGCAAGGATAACGACTACTCTGTACCTTAAAAGTTTCAAGTGATATCTGAGCCACTATCAATAGAGGATGATGACATTTATAGCACTAAAGGGGGCCCACTAATAGAATCCCTCAGCTTTTTCTCAGAAACATAAGCAATCACAATCGCACCTTAATTTCTACCTCACTGTTTTTTAAAATTTGGAACTGATAAGGAAATTTATTCAAGGCTTTGGATTGAAGATTTCTTGCGTTCCCAAATCAAATACTGGCATTTGAATAAGTTTTCAAGTAATTTTATTTGTATCTTATGTAACATGTGGGAATTCAATAATTAGGGTTTGACAATTCAGGGTAAAATTTTAACGTATCTATACAATATTGCATCTTTCCATAGGTAAATGCTGTGATTACCCCATCAAGAAACTATACAATAATTGACAGTTAGGTTGAAATGATGAGCCCTAATTCTAAAATTCCAATTCAGCAATACCTCACCTTTTACACAATTGTAAAAACTTTAGAAAGGAAGTACTTGATTTGGGAAAGCCAAAAATTTTCAATCGACTACATTAGATGACTTCCTCTATTCGAAATACAGAAGCAATCAAAGCCCTTAAGATGGAGAAGTGAGGCTTTTAAAATTAAAAATATACACCAAAAGCAAACATACAGTAGATGGAGAAGTGAGGCTATAGTGAACAGTTATCATAAGTTACAACCAACTCCATGTCATTTTTAAACGCAACAAAGCACACGGGCAGCATGTAAGAGCCTACACCAAATCTCTGTTATCCGTGAACCCAACTAATCAAGCAATTTATGTGCCCATTCCAAATAATCATTACTAGATTGTCCACAACATTGATGAAACCAACAACTGAACATAAGAAATTGTACATAATTGCAACTGGCATCTCTTTTCAAAATAAGGAGATGCATATACAAAATGGTGGTTAGTCCAGTTTATTAATGACATGGTACATTAAGTGTCCAATAATTTTTTCATCATGAGTCTATCAAAGAGAAATACTATTATCAATTATCTAAGTTTGAATATGCAGTATACAATCCATTGCTTATTCTAGTAGCTCAACTAGTGGCGATGATTGGCAAGGATTTCTCCTTAGGTTCAAGCGTGTACTTAAAACTACCCAATCGATAAACCCAGATTTCCTAAAAAATCTAATTTCCACTGAAGCTAAACATCCACAAAAAGCTACAATTCAATCCAACTCTTTGTATAGGAGCTGTAAACATGAGCAACACCCAATTTTAGCTTCCTAATCCTTAAGCTCTCTCAATCAAACATACAGTAGCTTATATATATGGAGTAGCAAACAATGCTTTCAATATTCCAAAATCAATAGTTTTTTTCAGATCCAACCTTCCAAATGTATAACATTTATAACATAGAGTAGCATCTATAACATCAAATCTAACTAATGATTTCCAAATTCCCCAAAACCTATAGTATAAATACAATAATCTAGCCCCATTTCCATTCAATTTATACAAATCATAAACATTCAAAATCCCCCAAAATAAGCAATACCCAGATTCAAATAAGCAAAACCCAGATAATTTCATCAAAAACATGCATTCAGCAATCAAATCCAGATCCAATTTCATTCAATTGATCACCAAAAAAACCCAAAAAAAAAATTGAGAGGAGAGATTGAATAACTTACACCAGGGGACACCAAGAGATCCAAAATCAGAATCAAGCCCATCAAATCCAAAGAAAGCGAAACGAGAATGAGGTTGAAAGAAGCCCCTACTTGGAGTAGAAACACAAACAAGAGAACGAGTGTAGAAAACGACGGAAGAAGTGAATAAAACGACGATGAAAGTGAAAGCAAGGCAAGGCCAAAGAAGACCATAACGAGAAACAAAGTTGATGAAACGAGTTGAAAATGCGACGGTTTTCTTCGTCTTTGATTCATCGTCGGATTCTTCGTTCTCATTATCGTCGCCTGAAACTGCTGTTCTTCGAGAAGAATGCATTCTCTCTTGAACTCCTTCTCTCTCCATTTTTTGGGGATTTTCTCTCTCTGAAATGTGTTTAAAGGGTAAGAAAGAGTGAGAGTGTGAATTTGAGTGTGTGAGTGAGTAAGAACACCTGGGGTTGGTTTGATTTTTGATAGAAGTTGAGGACTTGAGGTTTTTTTTGATTAATTGTGAATTTTTTATTTGATTTTGATTATGAATTTTTTTTTCCCAATTTTTCTTTTAGATAATGGATCTATCTCCCATGGATAGGAAATTTTACATGAAGTTCAACATAATTTCATGTGATAGTGTAAACTAATGGCCTGTTCTGATTTACTGAACTGAACTGAATTGATTGGAACTGAGCTGAACTGAACTGAATCGTTTTTGAGAGAAGGAAATTAGAAAGTGAACTGAAATTAAGCTGAAGAGAACAGACCCGAAGTACTACTATAGCTTACTGAGTACATGAGTTTCACATATTAAAGCTGATTGAAGTTTTCTTGCTTTGATTGATAAAAATCAATAGAAAAGATTTCATGCAATAAAGGAGGTACTTACTTAAGCATTAAGATGATAAATAAACATTGTTTACTAGGTTACAACCTAAAAAAAAGATAATACAATGGACGCTACTAATAATACAAATCATCTTAAAAGGATAAATATAAGGATTGTATTAAACTCATGGTCTAGGTCTAGGATATGAGCCGGGTGTAGAGATATTGCTATTCCAAATTTCAATTTATCTTTCAAGGTTGTATTAATCAACAAGATGGTTTGTATGCTTGATGGCAGTGGCGGAGCCACCTTGTGTCTTGGTAGGAGTGGTAGGACACCAAAAAAATATACTTAAACTTTTGTCTAAATAAAATGTAAAGTGCATTATTATGTTCAAGCTTAATCGCAAGGTACTGGTTGGAACATTATCTTTTCTTTCAAAGGTCCATGAGTTCTAATCTTTTGCCCATTGTTCTTTTTTTTTTCCTCTCTTTTTATATACTTCTTAATGTCCTATTTATCTAGGAAAAATTGATAAAAATAATCCCAACTTTCGCCGATTCGCTCAAAATAATCCCAACTTTGATTATTTTTAAATAATCCGAACTTTGAGGGCCATTTGCTCAAAATGATCCCAACCGGTCATCCAACTTGTTATATCAAGTTAATGCGACACGTGTCATCACGTAATTGGTTGGAAAAAAATTTGAAAAAAAATCCAGAAAATAAAAAATCAACCATCCACCGACTACCTTACCACCAATCCACCACCCTCTTCTCGGCCCGTTGCACCTCCGAAGCCCCAACCACCGTCGCAGACCCTACCTCACCCTGGCGCCGGCTCCCAGACCATCCTTCCCTCACGCCGGCGCCGACACTTCTCTCCTCCTTCCCCCTAAATCACCTAACTTATACCGCGACCTGAAACAAAAAAAAAAACCCAAACACCGCGCAAACCCCCCAAATCGCCACTTTCCCACCTTCGGAACCCTAGGAGCAGTGATTTGGGTGGTTTGTGAGGTGGGCTGAGTTTTTTTTTTAAGGATTTCGGGTTTAACTAGGTGGTTTCAGGGTGTGGGTTTTGGGGGAAAGGGCGTCGGGATGCCGGCTGTAGGGGAGGGGATCTGGGCCGGTGGGAGGCGGGACTCAGGAGTGCCAGCGGTAGGGGAGGGGGTCTGGCTGGTGGGATGAGGGATGCCGGAGTGTCGACGTGGGTGGTGGTGGGGTTATCGTGGGTTGGTGCTGGGTGTGTTTTTTTTTATATATATATTTCAACCATTTATGTGCTGACACATGTCATTTAAACACAAATTAAAAAAAAACCTTTTTAACAGGTTACCGGTCACTTCGGACCATTTTGAGCGAATAATCCCCAAAGTTCGGATTATTTAAAATTAATCCAAAGTTGGGATTATTTTGAGCAAATCGGCGATAGTTGGGATTATTTTTATCAATTTTTCCATTTATCTATTATCCCAAATAACACAAAAACTTACCCATTGGGCGATAATACTTTTCTACTTAAGATACTGAAATTGATGATGTACTAATACGCTTTCAAAATTTGAAGATTCGTCAGTTTTATTGTAATATTTCTTTTTACATGTATGAGTACACCTGAATTATTAGTTATAAATCCTATTAATTGGTACTTTGAATCATGCCATTGATACAAAAAATCTATCTAGTGATTCCAAGCTTATTATATAAAAGATCTAAAAAAAATTAACGGGGTCATTGCTTAAAGCTTTGAAGAGGGATAACATATATTTGATATATTTTGGAATAATAAACATGATTGCTAAACGCAACCTCTAGTTACTACTATACACCCCTCCTAAATATCATAAATTCCCTTCTAAGCTAAAATCATCTTCACGACATTTTTGCCTGCTTTCCTTTCCACCTTCTTCCACACCTAATTTCCAGAAATTTATACCTGTATTTATTCGAATTACTCACATAATCAATTAGCGAACAATATTCCGAGATCTAATGAATATGAACACGAATCGGATGAAGTTGGGTGACACACGAAATAGGCTCAATCATTTCATACAATTTGAACGAAATATTAAAAAGTGATTTTATTTTTTTTAATTTTTTTTTTGAAGGATGAAAAGTGGTTTTATTGATTCTACACATAATAGATTCGTATGATTCTTATCAAATTCGAAGAGGCTAATGTAAAAATCATTACCCATTGCAAATTCAATGTATTTTAAGTTAAATTAATGCACTCTTGTTATTAGAGATTACTTGAGAGGAAAAAATAAATAAAATGGTTATTTTGTCCCTACATCTAATAAATGAGTGGAATAGAGGTTGCGCTAAGTAAAGTCAGGTTGCGTTTAGCACTCCCCATAATAAAGGTTTGACAAATATGATTGCTAAGTAATTTTGAATATTGACATTAAAACCTTCATTCTTTCAAGATTGCTATGCGGCTCGTAAATGTGTCTTAAATTTTTTTAAAAAAGATTTTAAAGCCTTGAAAAAAGGGTTTCAGATGATATGGTATCCTACCATTGTAAAATCCTGGCTCTGTCACTGCTTGTTGGCCTAGCCAAGTATGCATTTCATAAATATAACAGTAGGAGATTAATAATTTAACTACACCTTATACTTATTTGCAACCTCCTAGCTCGTATGCACTCTTTCTAAATGAGAGCCCCTCTTTCTAGCATACTAGAGCCAATTTTCTTAGCTATGAACGCAACCACCAACAACCTTCCTGGCTTTCTCCCTAATCCATAACGACCATAAGAGGGTTTCTATGCCAAGGGACTCCACAAAAAATTAGGTTATAAGAGAAATTTCGTAAAATTATTCTGGCTAAGTGTGTAAGAATTCATGTAGGGAAAAGAAAAGTTTTTTTTTTTTTTTTTTTTTTTTTTACTAGGAGATGAAATGTGTCATTCTTGATTTCCAGCCAATTCACTTTTTCGTATATGGTTATTGATTGATGACTTGTTTAATAAATAGGCTTAGTTATGATATATTGGTTATGCTTGATTGAGGTTTACTTAATTTCCAATATTATCAAAGATGAATAGGCTTAATTCCCTTTTTAGTATTGAGATGATGTGACATAGAGGAAAGAATTGGAGTTTTGAAGTCCTCTCATTCATCCTACTTTGAAAAATAATACATTGATCCTTGCTACTTCAAAATAATATCATAGATTTTCAAAGTTTTTCTTCTTCTTCTTTTTTTTTTTTTTTTTTTTTTTTCTGCTATAGATTTTCAAAGATTTAATATAACGCATGTAATTTTCTTCTTAGCTTGTACGAAGTATATACTTCGTATACTTGCAGTTGTTAAATACTCTGCAATATCCTAGGCCTCTGGAAAAAAAAGGATATTAGGTGTGTGTAATGTTGTTCAATGAGATTGACATTGTTTGATTGCACTTAAATTATGGGGAAAACAAAAATTCTTGGAAGAGTCATTAATGTATCCCAACTTGAGAAAGAAAAAAAAAAACTTGTTAACCGTGTCAGTAAATTTAAGAGTAGTTTAATTTCATAAGTTTTCAATAGTCTCATTTTGGTACATTTTGGAACATATTCTTAAACAAAAGTTATTAGCCACCAATGTACCAAGAAGTATAATAAGATTCGAGTCTTGCCAAGAGTACGTGCATAGGGGTGGGAATTCCCTCACCATTTCTCCCTATTTTAATTCAAGTGTCTAGCTAAACTTAGACCACAAAAATCATGATCCTTTTTGTTCCTTATCACAAAACATGTGCATGAAATGCTAGGTAATATATGTCCAAGACTTTAGATTAATTACTACCAAAGAGATTCAAACAACATTTATAACTTACTCATTAGGGATATGAAATAATTCCTCCAATCCAGATATTATTAATTGCATCATTTAGACTTTTATGTTCATCAATGTAAAATTTTGACCATTAATCTTTTATTTATTTTTAGGTATAAAAAAAAAATCAAAGAAGAATGTGATCGAGAATAGTGAAAAAGTTTATATAGAAGTTCAAATAGTGCAGTGTGATTATAAAAATCAAATGAAGTGCTATGTAAGTTTTAACTATATACTTGTTATAAAATAAATATAAGATCTTAATTATATAATTAGTTTTTTGCTCGGATGGCCGGTGTCCTAGTCATTATTATATAAGACTAAAAATAATGTTCTTAGTAATTAAATTTTAAACGAGTTGAAGATACAATAATAGCTAAATCGTATAATAACGACGAAAAAATTAGACAACTGCATGAACCAGGCTCTACCTAGTGAATTGTGAGATATAATATATTGCCTACTTACCTTGGGCTAGACACTTTATTAGTAGTCATGGGGATTAAGGATTCTCTACCATGCCCTTAAAGGGATTGGTCTAAAGCTCCAACTTTAAGGTTGAGTCATTTCTTTAAGTTTATGTCAAACTTAACTTATTATTACGTATTTAAGGTATGATTTTCAAAAAACGTGTTATATTCTACATTACTATAGGATAATACGATAGACATTTTATGTTGCAAAAATTATTATAGGAAGAAACCTTTTTTTTTATTATTTTTTATTTTTTATATATATAAATATATACGATGGACCATAAATTAAATGAAAGTATTTGACTATTTGTCTATGGCTTAACTCTTTAAATTGCCCTCCAAGTTTAAAAGACAACTTTTAATCTATACCTCTACCACTAATCACTCCACACATGTCTATTAAAAATTCCACATACACACCCATAAATTCGTAAAGTTGTTAGCTACTCCATCAAACTAGCAAAAATTAACTCTTTTTCTTCATCTTCTCTTTTTCTTAAATCTAACTAACAAATACTACCCACATTTTCCTCTCACC